AGGACTTTTTTTTTTTTTGTGAGGCAATCAGGATTAAGTGACTTGCCCGGGGTCAACAGCTAGTAAGTGTCAAGTGTCTGAGGCCTGAATTGAACTTGAGTCCTTGTGACTCCAAGGCTAAAACTCTATCCCCTGTGCCACCAAGTTGCCTGAATGATACTATTTCAAAAAGAATTTCTGAAATGGGTAATGATCAATTCCAGCAGCTTATTACCAGGCTTAAGGGCAGCCCAAAGTTAGCAATTCAGTTAGATAAAACAATTGAGATATATATATATATATATATATGTATATTTTTTTTTTTTGGCGAGGCAATTGGAGTTAAGTGACTTGCCCAGAGTCACACAGCTAGTAAGTGTAAAGTGTCTGGTCTGAGGCTGAATTTGAACTCAGGTCCTCCCAACTCCAGGGCTGGTGCTCTATCCATGGTGCCACCTAGCTGCCCTGAACATATCACTTTTACTCCCTGCATGGTGCATTCGGAAGCACTCGTAGCAAAAACGTTGTCACCAGACTCAGATGTTGTTCTTCAAGATACTATCAAAATCATTAACTTCATTAAAGGTTACGCTCTTAACAGTCACTTGTTTTCAAACCTTTGGAAGGACATGAACTCTGATTACAAACACTTATTACTATATGCAAAGGTATGGTGGCTCTCAAGAGCGTGAAGTTTAAACAGGTTATTGAAATTGGAAGATGATGTTGTTATATTTTTGGCTGAACAGAAATCCAATTTTATTAATTTTTTCTTAACGACTTATGGCTTTCAAAACTGCTATTTGTCAGATATTTTTATTTTATTTTATTTTTTAGGCAATTGGGGTTAAGTGACTTGCCCAGGGTCACACAGCTAGTAAATGTCAAGTGTTTGGTCTGAGGCTGAATTTGAACTCAGGTCCTCCTGACTCTAGGGCTGGTGCTCTATCCACTGCGCCACCTAGCTGCCCTTGTCAGATATTTAAGAAAAAAAAAAAAACTCAGTGATTTAAACATGTCACTTCAAGGAAAAAATTGTAACATATTTTGTTAAGAGATCATATTGAAAGTTTTACTAAAAAGTTAACATATAAAAGAATATGTTTAGAAATGTTTACAGCTACAGATGATTTTATAATTGAAAATAACCTTCCCAAAGACATAATTGTAAGAGCTATAATTGACCATCTGAAGTGCCTGGAGACACAGTTTCAGAAATACTTCCCTTCAGATTTTGATTCTAAAAACTAATTTGGGTTCACAAACCATACTCAATTGAAATAAAAAAAAAGTCAGCCGTCTGCCATTAAAAGTTCAAGAAGAATTTGCTGAGTTATCAAGAGACACAGGTTTAAAATTTGAGTTTCCTTAAAAATTGTTAAAGGAATTTTGTTTTGGGATTAGGGCAGAATTTCCAACCATTTCCTAAATGGCCCTAACCATTTTTCTGCCACTTTGTACCATGTATTTATGTGAAGTGATGTTCTCACCATTGACAATTATAAAACCAAAATATCGATCAACTCTCAAAAACATTGAAGATGCTCAACATCCTGGAGTATCAAATATTCCAATAAGTTCTAATTCTTCATGTAAAAATAAACAAGCACATCCATTTCATTAGTATGCAAATTTCCTTTCATCTTTAATAAATGGTAAAATTATATGCATATGAAAGAATTGTTTTAAAATAAATTTCTTTATGATTTATTATCAGTAAATATTTGATTTGTACACCTATTTTATATACTTATATACCCAGCATTATGTAAAAATTTCTTGGGCAAAAACGGATTGTGAGTGGAAAAAAATTAAGAAGCCCTGGGCTGCAGAATGGTTTTTAAAGAATTGGAGCTGGCAGGCTGATCTAGTCATAGACAACTGTGCAGTTGATTTTGTACCAATAGGGAGCTTGGGAGGTGAGGGTGTGTGTGTGTGTGTGTGTGTGTGTGTGTGTGTGTGAAAAACACTTTCCTCATTGGAAAAGAGCTGTCTTGGAGATGTGGGTGTTGGAGTCTTGGAAAGCAGGATCTTTCCTATATTGGTAAGATGGCTTCATAGAGTAAGTCAGATGATCTCCCTCCTTTTCTGGCATCTCATGGAGAAGCTATGGACTTGGGGTTCAGGAAACCCCCCCAAGCTGGGGAAAAACCATTGTAGGAGCTGGAGCCAGTGTGCAAAGAGATTGGATATACCTGCAAACTCCCTGAAGGATGCTGGAGAACTTTGAGAGAGGGATCAAATGAAACCTACCTGGCCTCTCAGGCATGGGTGTGTGTGTGTGTGTGTGTGTGTGTGTGTGTGTGTGTGTGTGTGTGTGTGTGTGTGTGAGAGGGAGGAGAATCACTGTTAAGGGTTGTTTCCTCCTTTAGTCTAAG